AACCGTAGATAAGTTTTGTTTCGTTGTCCACGGTTTCTTCCGATGTATCACTTCGTAGATAAGCATACAAGCTTGCACTTGCAAAATAGCAACAAAAATATGAACTTAAAATTTCCTGTGTCGGCTGTTCCTGTGGGGCTTCACAAATGCAATCAAACAATGGTGATCAAACGAAGGTATTTTAGCTTCTTGAACATTCGTCTTCTTTTCCCACTAATTTGGTTAATCATTCAAAGCGGTCGCCGATGCAACGTTTCTCAGTAAAGGTAGAAAGCAGTTTACCTGGGATTTATATCAGTGTTTTCGAGAGAATCGCTCACACCCGCCGGATCTTACTGGATTCGAACCCATGACCTAACTCTTATGAGCCAGTGACTAATACCACTGAAGCACAGATATTAATCTTTACACAAAATGTCCTTACGCAAAATGTCACGTCGTTTAATTCCCATGTATTTATGACGCTTTTGTTTAAATAACATAACGTATATCCTCTTTAATAGAAGACGCAGAGCAGTTATATTCCCTGAAATTTTGTCCCATACTTTGGCATTAGCCCTTCATCCTCCTTGTCATTACTAAACGCTTGAAGGTTGACACATCGCTTCCCACTGATAGTCAGTGCACCTATTTCATGCAAATGAAGATCAGAGCTCAAAGAACGGTGCGTACCACCGCTAGCTGCTGAAATAACCAGTGCACTCTGAACTACAACAAACTAGATAATCCACATGTAACGAACAGTGTGGCGGACACATCGTAACACTCCAGCATTGTGAGCTGAATTTTCTATTTGCATTCATCATATTAACCACGCCTCACACTTTGAACAGTAATTACTCATTCTCCACCAATTACCATGGTCCATAATTGATGCTGTGGGTACAACCAGCTGTGGGCTGAATAGCCATATCCTCAAGGCCGCTGGAATGATAAAGGTGCAATAAAACAGACTACATATACTATATGAACTGAAGGTTCTTCCCGGATTTCTATGAATTAACAGTGTAAGCACTACGATTTTATTCATTTCATACATTTCGTTAGCAACCTTCATGAGTTTACCATTGCTTTCTTGAGAACTTTGTATTTTTTCATTACCATATGGCTTTTTGCTGTCAATTGTTTCATTAACACCATGTCTGTTTGAGAGTACTGCAAGAGCCCTTATCACCTAGGAGGTAATGTTGAAACCACTGAGGAAGCGAAGCCTGGTCGGACATAAGGTGTACAGCGGATTATTTAGCAAAGCTATTTTATACTTGAAGGATTATCTGCAATGGATGGTGCTCTTAACCTCATCTTCCACATTAAAACTCATTCATGATCATTATCTGGTGGCATTGAGAATTCCGATTGGGAGCACATATACGAAAAGTATTCCTATTCGCTGGATTGGTGAATGCGTTGCCTTGCCCGAATAAGTGAACCCTACTGATAGTGCAATTATTATTTGTCAGTATACCTATTCCTCTCCGACCTGCTGGTTCAGATAGATACGCCTTTATTATTGGCTTAACTATTGCGGGTTGTACCTCGCCATGTCCATCGATGCATCCTTTTCACTATAAGCATTGGATTTAGCAACCACACTGGCGGCCACACGTTCCTAAGCAAGCACATACTTGGTATTTGCGTCTCTGAAGATGCCTGAAACGGTTGGACTAAATACCTAAGGTCATAATTGTACACGATAAACACGAGAAAACTAAAGGATGCATACATATTTTGAGCTTATGTTTGTGGTTAAATTTAAAGTTCCGCTCTTTTGCATAGTAGTTAACAGTTGATCTGTTGACCGGGTGTTTAGCAATAACTGCCACACGATATGGAACTTTCGATATCAATTTTGATCCATATCTGATGTTATTCATTGTTTCCAAAATGAACAACAAGGAGATGCCGCAGTGCAACATCATTTACGACCGGTGTGTTTCACATAAAAGCTGTATTTCACCCGTACGGGTGGATAAAGGTTACCTTGACTTGACTTCACTTGCTTAAGTATCGACTGACAGTCACTAAAGGGAACGATGCATTCAGCACTGTTGTCCGTAGACGAAATAGGTTTAAAATCTTACCGTTTTGGCATGTAAAAGTAAGACGTTCGTGCATTGTCTGTGGAAGGATCGAATGTTACACCATTAAACGTGAGTTCTGGCGTTCTGAACGCTTCAATACCCAGTTAATAATTGCATGCTAATTACTAAATTTGATGTGGCCGGTGGTGTTTCTTATTGCACAATGAACACACATTATATATTCTACGCGTCAGCTAGAGGTGGGAAACACCTCAGCTGCTGTGCCGCAATACATAAAGGAAAAGGGAAAATAAATACAACAGTTGAATGCCAGCTGAGCTACCAGAAACGGATAGGCAACGTTCCGATAAGCTACCAGCCGGCTACTAGGAAAAAGAAAAAAGAAATTGTTTTACGGTACGAAGTGAGATGGTAGGTAGAGGGGGTGGCTAAAAGGGATGGGGTGGGACAAACAAACTCACAGCACGAACGCCACTGAGGTCGGCTCCTTGCCATGTCAGCAAGTGTATTCAGCCAAACGTGTTCACCGGATTTTGGACCCCAACTAGGGGGCCGAGACGCTCCAACCGAAGCCAGCTCCGAAGTGAGAGCCTTCCTTCCTCTCCACCAAGTCATCGCTTGGCCACCCCTCCACTTTGCCATTCACATCCAACAGTGAGCAAACAGCGCACGTCGTGGAAGTCGGTGCGCTGGAATGCGCAACACGTGGCCCAGCCATCGGAGCCTGGTGCGGGAAATAATGGTGCTGAGAGGTTCAGTTCCTTTTTCTGTGCCGTAAACAAGGAGTCGAACACGCTGGTTGCTCACACTTTGTTCCCACCAGGTGTGAGCCAAACTGCGAAGGCACCGATGGTCGAACATAACTAGCCTCTTCATGTCCGGCGATCTTAGGGGCCAGGTTTCGCAACCATACGGTAGGGTCGAACGCACCGCTACATTGTATACTCTACCCTTCAGAGCAAGAGTGATGTCGTGCAGCCGCCATAGGTGGCGAAGGTTAGCAAAAGCACTTCAAACTTTTGATATTCGGTGCGTGTTCTCATCTTCAATCCCAAGGACGCTGATACAACTGCCCAGGTAGCTTACTTTCTGAACGACTTCTAGCTGATCCCCACCAAGTGTTAGCGTAGGAGGCGATCCCTGCCAAGCTTGAAGGAAAGCTTTCCATTTCGATGGTCCAAAGCAAAGTCCGAAGCAGCCGACAGCCAGTGCTAATCTGTCCAGCGCGGCTTGGCACGTCTGGGAGCTGTCACAGA